ACACACACACACACACACACACACACACACACACACACACACACACACACACACACACACACACACACACAGCCAATGGACGGCCGCACTCACTTTCTCACCGTGGCTCAAATACAATATTAAATTGGACTTTGTTTGATGACTCTGCGTCGGGGATTTCATAAACCTCTGAAATGGATTCACTCCAGACACAACGCAAACAAGCTGTAGTTTTTCACGGAGCAGATTTCCAGTCAGGACGGCGGTGATTGATTCCAGCGTGGCCTTGAGCCTGTTGCTGCCGCTTACATACCAAGTGATGAATATGCTGTATGTTTCTTAGGCGGTGAGGGCATTCATGAGAGGCAGTCATTAATTCAACACTGGACTAGTTAAGGTAGGCTTTGTTTACAAGGACACCATGACAGGAAGGCAGGCAATTTTTTATTTTATTTATTCATTTGTTTGTTTTGTTTTTTTAATGCCGCTGACTCGTTTGTCTGTCTGATGAAGGAATCACAGTCAGCGGATGAATCTAAATGAGATAAATTTAATCTGAGAAACTAAGGAAACTTTTAAATTAAAAGAGACATTAACCACGGCTCATCGTGAGGTGCATCACACGGCACATATAATAATTAAAGGAAACACAGGGAAGGATACTAACTGTTTTGGGCCTGAGCTAATGTAAAGAAGAATTTCTTAAACCAATACGTAGAGTTCAAATGATGATTTTAAATCTGATATTTTATGTGTATTATCTCTGTGTTTGCCTGACTGGAATCATCACCTCACTGTTGTACGCCTCCGACAACCAGCAAAGCTGCAGGAAATATGGTCACAATCTCCCCGTCCTGTGGTACAGCGTTGAAATACGGGGAAAAGTGTTTTTTGCAGAACATTAAGACGTCGCATTGAAGTTGACCTTTGACCTTTTTGGATATGAAATGTCCCTCCTTTATCATTTTATCCGTGTGTTCAATTGTGTCATAATTGCTGGATGAATTTGTGAGTTATGGTCCAAAACCTATTTTGTGAGATTTTGTGACCTCGACATTTGAAGTGACCTTTGACCTTTGACCAGTAAAATCAAATCAGTTCATCCTCAAGTACAAATGGACATTGGCGCCAAATTTGCAGGAGATTTAACTCGAGGAGTTCCCGAGATATGGCGTTCACAAGGCGAAAATTGTGTTTTGCGAGGCCACCTTTGACCTTTGACCTTTGACCAACAAAATCCAATCAGTTCCACCTTGAGTCCAAGTGAAAGTTTGTACCGCATTTGAAGAATTTACCTCACGGCGTTACTGAGACATCACACTCATGAGTAGGGGACAGACGGACGCCTCTGGCCCTGGCTGTTACATGCAGCTTACACCCAGTAAAGATCACAAATACACCCCCCCCCCAAAAAAATCAGCTATTCACTGGTAAATGTACCTCTGGAATACATTACTATATTCAGGTGGAAAATTAATTAAAAAAACATTTCAGATTTGAATAACGACCTCGAATTAAATATACATTCAGCTTGTGCAGACTGCTGATGTACAGTAATTGCAGGCGTATCATTAGAGAAATCACAGCAGCTGGCCATTACCTTTCAGCTATAATTCATGTGCAATTGTAAAAACTAATTGTGCACTCGTGTAGTTTGACAAGTCAACAAAAAATAAGGCCCAGAGTGGAGAGACTGCACTCGCTGGAGTCGTCTCCATAAGGAATCTGTCCTGTCTGCCGTGATCGGACATTATCAAGATCAATAAAAAGGGAACTGGAATATTTCCAAGAACACAGACTCTCCTGCTAACAGTCTGTGAAGAGTCTCAGTCGTCCAGGTCATGGTTTCTCTTAGAGCTTTAACAAAAGGGAACTGGACTTGCTTGAGATTCTTGCAGACGCTCTCATCCGAAAGGCCTCGTCAGTTCTGATCAGACGATTCAGTTCGGATCAAACATCTTCAAGAACCTCAGCTGCTTTTGTAAAGCTCTGAGACACCCTGCTGTGAGTGATAGAAGAAAGTAAGAAGAAACTAATGAGTTTTAAAGTGAGAAATTGTAAAGTATTCCTGACCTGACTTTAATCTAACCTGAGGTGGCTGCAGTACATGCCTCATTTTTATAGTTTGGAGACGGATGGTCAACCATATCATAGAGGATTTGTCTTCTGGTGTCGTGACCCAAATCATTGGTGTTTGTATCTTGGTTTCTGAATCGTTACACCCCTACTATATCGTTGTGAAGTGGGAGGATGTTGTGGAAGAAAAAGTCCATTCATTTTCCCCAGTTGGATCCATCGGATAACATTTTCTAATGCTGTTGTTCATCTCTTGTACCGATTCAATCCGGAAAATGTCTGCCTCTTTAAAATCAGATCGATATCAAATGTACAAGCCCGTGTACGTAAAAACATGACAACTATTCCAGTGCGCTTATTGAATAGATGTCGCACTTAGCGCTTACACCAAGGTCTCCTGCTGCACTGAGCCTTTAGTGTTGACCCTCACTTGTAAGTCGCTTTGGATAAAATCTTCTGCCAAATAAGTAAACGTAACTGTACCTGTAAACTGAACGACTCCCAAGGTGCATTTTGTGCAGTGTTTTTACACAGTAAATCATTACATCATCTGAGAGAGTCGTGTGCTTCTATACTGAGGAAGTTTGTTAAAGAAAAACCTGTAATGTGAAATCAGAGAGGTGGAAAAAAACTTCCCGAACCATCACCTCACAACTCTATTCCAGTTATAATCCACTCACCTGAAATCAGAGAAGTCGACAAACTTTCTGTCACGATAGCCTTTCATCTGAAATGGCAGTAGCCATTAGGGTTGTGCCGATCCCCGATCGTCAGAGCGATCGCAGATAACTTAACTTTTCCGATGTCAAGACGATATTTAGCTTGTTTTATTATTTACTAAATAAATATTTCAATTAACTTGCCCTGCCATAATTTCATGTCGGCATCATCAGCATATAAATGACACTTGCAACACTGACTCGCGTGCACACACACACACACACACACACATACCACGACCAGCTGACTGTCACTCACTGAAGCAGAGCGGAGCAGATCGATAAACGATAAACAGACGGACAAACCGCGTCACTACGTTCGGTTTCTCAGCTGCTGCTTTTCGTGGTTGTAAACACAACTTTCAGCCCTAACGGGGAAGTGAAGAGACAGTCAACGAGAGAGAGAGAGAGAGAGAGAGAGAGAGCTGTCTCTAAGCGCCTTCCCCTGCTGGTTTCGAGTGCACATTGTGAACGCTCTGATTATTAAAATGTAAATAATTTATGTTTTGTTTGTGATGACAATATTGTTTAGCTTTAACAGAGCCATAAATGTATTTATCATCGTACTGTCAGGGTATCAGAGAAAGAGAAGTCGCTCTCTCTCTCTGCACGTGTATGCATACGAGTGTGTTTAGGTTACGAAGAACAACATCATGTTACGGTCACTGGCAGCATGACGACTCTCTCTGGACTCACCTATCTTCTTGCAGCGCTCCTCTCCTCTGTTGTGCATGATGATGGGCGAGTAGATGAAGGGGCTGGCGGTGGACATGTTCTGTCCCAGCAGGCCTTTCACTTTGTGGGGGCGCAGGCTGACAGGCAGATTGAGCAGCTTCACTGATCTGAGTTTGGGCATCAAAGGAGGAGGAGGCACATCAGTGACATGAGCTCGTGTCATTTTTATTTTTATACACAGATCAGTTCTGCCCCCCCGAACACGATCGTCTCACAACAATATAATCCGAGTGCTTGTGATGAATATTCATGATTTTTTTTTTTTTTACAGTATATTGCAAGAGTTTCATAAAAGTAAAGAGCAAAAACCAATAAAAAAATAAAAAAATAAAAGTACACTCCACACTTTTAGGGAGCAGGAGCTATTAATCCAGTCAGAGGAACCTTGTCAGTGTAATCTAGCAGATAAAGACTCCTGCACATCAGAACCTGCAGTTACTGTTGCTCATTAACATTTCAAACATTACACATTATAATAAAAAGGATTTATGGTTGGTGACTAATGACTTCTGTGATCAAAAGGTCGAACCTGCGATGACATAGAGAGAAAGATGTAATTTTTTATTTTATTTTTTTTTTATCTACTTCATTGCCAATGCATGGCTTCTCTTGGTTTGTTTCCAGCTCTCCAGCCTCCACAGTTGCCTCCTAACTGCAGTGTGCAGGGGTCATTTTCGCCTTGAGGCAGATCTGTCTCGCTTTGAGCTGGATTTCGCTGTCAGTGAAGTTATTTAAGTGTTGTAAAAGCATTAAAGCTGGTATACACACTGCCACAACAACTTTTCAATGTGACTTTTCAGTGTGTTTTATCAAACGGCTCCATTGTCGGTTTGTTTTGAGCGGCCATTATTTCTCTTAAGGGAAGTTCTACTGCCAGCCAATCAGAGTACCGGCTCACAAATAATGAGCCCAAAAAGCCTGGGTCATTAAAGGTGGGTGTGGAGCTCCCAAACAGCTGTTTGATGTTGAAACGCCTCTGAAGAAAAAGCGTTTCTTACACATAAGGAATAAAGAAGCATCGTTATTAATAAGACGCTGATCTGTTAATGCGAAACGAGATGTAATGTTTTTCAGGTTGTCATGTGTCTGAAAATCTCGTATCTTTTAGACACGACGGTATAAATACCATTGCATTTAAAAAATAAAAAAAATAAAAAGTAGAATCTTTCTTTTATTATCTAATTTGACTGTCAGTCATAAAAAATAAATCTAGTTGTCCTTTTTTACTGGTGGGACTTCCCAGTGTAACATGTGGCCAAATTGCTGACATTTTGCTAATGGCTAACGTTACGCTACTAACCAGGAATCAATTCTTCGCCGTCGCTCTAAAGTCAGTAGTTGCCGTTACCTGCACGGCACAACCTTCCCTGTGTGAGCTTCTGTTTTAGAGCAGCAAAGAAGAAGAGATGTCTTTCGTTTTTTTTCCAAGCACAAAACAATAAAGTTTATTTATCAATTACGTGGTATCGGATCAGTGCAAAGACTCATTTACTCGCCGATACGCGATTTAGTATCGGAGGCTTTTCCGATACTTATATCAGTATCGGAACAATCTACTATATATATATATTTTATAAAGTTCCTTCATTATCATGGACACACACACTCACTTATTTCGAGCTGATCCCACATACACCGTTCTGCTGCTGTAAAAACTCAATAAAGCAACGAACCCACGGCTAAAAACTGTCCTCAACAAATCTCCTGTTTACTCCAGTTTGGGATTTTTCTTTTTAATAAAAGTAGATAATTATAACACATTTTTTTTTAAGATTTTAAGACACAGACATGCTGAGGAATTTGGGTAGTATTGAGAGACAGACTGACTAACATTGTTTGGGTTTGTTGACAATATGAAATTCCATTAGAAAATTTTAAAAAACAGGATAAAAACCAAATTTACCTCAGTTTTTAAATCATCGCTGAAAGATTAATGGAAAGCCTCACTTCAAAGCAATTGAAATTAAAAGCACCAATTTTATACAGCCGTTTAGCAGTAACGGCTAACTAACTGCCACACTTTGATGTACCAATGGTATAATTACACCAGATTTCTAATTCTGGATGATATTTAGCCTGGTTAAAAATAAAGCCAACATGTGACAAGATACAGAAAAAGTAACAATCAGTCAGACTCTTCTCTTACCGGACAATGGGAAGCTTTGTAAAAGGCACCGGAGGGAGCTTCAGGCCGTCGGGAAGGGTGATGACCTCCATTCCCCCCGGACACTTGGAGGTGTAGTTCTCCAGACTCTGGGTCACTTCTTTCTTCTCTATAAATGAAGAACGTAAAAAAAAAAAAAAATCACTGAGCCGCAAAGAAATCTATAGATACAATCATCCACCGATAAGACAGCAGCAATTATGACATAACACGATTCCCTTTAAATTTCCCCCGCACCCGGATAATTCGAGCTCCATCGCTCGCCAATCGAGATTTCATCTTTGTGTGTGGTATAAATTAACCGGACGTTAATGGGCTGCGAGGTGTCTCTCTCTCTCTCTCTCTCTCTCAGCAATAAGATCCCCAGCCTTCAAGTAAAATTGTAAGTTTTATTGTACCATCAATACCTTTTGAGGGATCATTACTGCTCACCCAGCTGTAGAATTTGCTTTGGGTGTGTAAGTTTCCAAGATTGTCCATCAGGGTGGAGAAGGACATTTACTTGCAAAAGATTTCACACAGATCTATAAACCCTTGGTAGGAGTACATTAGGAGGTCTTATCATAGCCCCGGTGCTTTCCTCCACTTTATTGTACATTCAATAAAAAAAATAATGGGGAAACAGGCTACATCCATGATGCAACAGACGATGTTTATTTAATCAGCTGCCTGAGATATATACACTGTGCATATGAAATGAGATGAGATGCTTGTATTAACAGCCAAAAGGATGACTCCAGGATTTTATGTCCTCTGGCAACAGTAAAGTCTGTCCACCCAAAATGTTAATATAAACCTGGGAGCCAGAAACCGGACCGCCAGCAAATCAGAGTGCAGACAGAAAGGGGAAGAGATAACAGAGGAAAAGGTTGTGAGTGAGGGGGGGGGGGGGGGTAAAGTGAGATGGAGGTGGACAGAGGAGGGAATCAGACGGAGAGAGGGGAGAAGAGTAAAAGGAATAAAATAGCAAGAGATGAATGGAGTAATAGCTCAGTTGTCCTCCTGGCTCACAGCTTTCATGATTGATGATATATTTTTTCTCTCCTTGTTTGCCACGTCTGAGCGTTCACAGCAGCCGAGTGCTGAGGGGCCACTCCAGGACACAACGCTGGCCGCGTATCCCGTAGTAAGTATTTTTTGCTAAGAATAGAAAACAGTAATTAACTAACATTACGTTTTTATTTCTTCCACAATGACTAATAAAACGAATGATCCTTCAAAGTAAAAGTCAAATGTCAGTAAAACATTAATAAACAGGATTTTATCAAACTTTTTAAACTGTGAAAAGCTGCTTTTATTTATTTATTTATTAGTTTGTTTGTTTGTTTGTTTGTTTGTTTGTTTGGTTGAACTAATGGGTGCCATGAACAGATTATCATAATCATATTTCTTATCCGATGCCGAATCCTTTCAGGTTTGTTTTTTGTTTTTTTTTGCCCACTTGATATTCAGTACCAGAGGAACCTGTAAACCCGTCACTGACGCATCGTCATCTTCTGAATTTGTTGTGGCAAACATATTAGCTAAGCAGTCGCCTATTTACACATCCAGCAGACAGGAAGGAACATTAGCATTCAGTGGAATAAAAATATCTGGCTCTTTAGCTGATAAATGCCCCACTTTGTTCCCAACTAGTCACTACATTTGTCTGCCGTTTAGTGCTGAGCAGGTAGTGTACAGTCAGTTTATCAGAGCTTTTATTTTTTTGCCTTCTGCGGCTGAATACAGGGTTGATGAGAGCGGAGGTTGCAGGGCCAGACAAACAAAACAATGATTTAAAAGAAGCTAAAATGCTCCGTAGAGCTGAGGGCAACTAAGTGCTGCACGATCTTTACCGGTGAAATGTTTCACATTGACGTGATCCACTGTTATTCCAAAAACATGAATCAGTGCAGCTTGACAAGGAAAGGAAACAAAAGTGAAGGAAAGGGAAAGTGAAGGAAAGGAAAAGGGAAGGAAAGGAAAGCCTTTAAACCTTTTTTTTTTTTTAAAGATAAAGAAACAAAAATAAAATCTGTGAATAAATTATATCAGTTGTGAGGGTTACACAAAGAAACGGTGAGAAAAAGTTTTCGCAGTTCCACCCAGGTGGGAGTTTAATTATGCTGGATGATGCTGGAAGAGCCCACACTGTCATCCATCTTGAAAATCTACTGCAACTTTCAAGGTAACAGAAGCTCCTGCCTCCTGACCGGACTCAGATTCAGGTGTAAAGACGGGACTGTTTTTAAAGATGGACGTCCCCCCCACAGGTTTCTGAGGAGCCGGGCCCCGTGTACACACGACTTTAAGCCTCAATAAAAATTCACAAATTACATGCAGGTTTCTGCTTTGCATGTGTGCACAGCTTTTCACAACAGCACTTCTTTGTGTCTTTGTGTAACTTCAGCACTGAATTCATTTGTTCACAGATTTTTTTTTTTTTTTTTTACAAATACAAATCTTTTCTTCACGTGTGCAACCTTGAATTTCTTTATAAACAACTGCAAACACCACTTGTACAAGCTCTAAATGTTTCTGACCCTTATTTGAGCCAATACTTGTCCTTTGTCGATGCAATTCCCTTGAGGTCAGACTAGCGTGTCAGGGCCCTTAGATAATCAAAGCCACGGGTTAAACTAGGAAGAAAACCTACTTTGTTGACTTGTTTCTCCCCTGCCCCCCCCTCCCCCCGCTTCCTGCCCAGACAAACACAACAAAGCACATTATAAACCTGACAGCTGGAACACGCTGTCCAGATAAGCAAAGACACATTTTTTACACTTAACGAACAGGAAGGGGAGAAAAGGTGCAGCTCGTTGCGGTTCACATAGTTCCCCAAACGAAAGGATCTCATCTCCAAGTGTCAGTCGTCAAGAGGAGCCCCCCCCACCCCCCGGATGAAAGGAAGCACGGGTAAGAGTTTGCTCTGAATCCTGAATCCTCTTCTCTGCAAACGGAGCTTACATCACCTCGTTGTGCGACTGAAGAGTAGGAGGGAGACACTTTTGAAATTTGCACCTATTAAATCTGCCTTCATCTAACAAGTTTGTTTGCAGTTCTCCTTCCCTGCCAAGCACTTCATTAAAGGCTGCGCTTTCCAGAGCTTGACGTGACCGAACATCCAGTGAAGTACCGCTCACACCATACAAATTAGTGTGACAGTAATGAGGGGGCTCAGGTATTCTGACAGCGTCTTTTGTACTTTTGCCGTATTAATGCCTCCCAGTTTGTCAGGATAGATCTAAAATAATTCGTAAAGCAGCAGGTGTCAACTGAGCTCGTTTTTGAAATTGTTTTGCAAGCATAAGCTCCGTGAAAAGGAAAATAATAAGAGTTGGGTTGGTGTGAGGGACGATGTCTGAAGGGCAAACAAAAGTATTGATTCATTTGTAGATGATGAACCATAACCACAGTCTTTCAGGCTTGATGTGATGCACAAAATGTTCTGTTTTCCTCCCTCCTTGCCTTCCCTTCTTCCTCGATTTGTCGACTCTCTGCTGAGGCATTAGCGGGGCTGTCCCCTGGAAGTCGGCGAGTCGATGCATCCTTTGCGAAGACCCCGGGGGTTGACTCGCATTTTGTGATTCTTCAGCGATCCGATCACAAGTGGACAGCTCCAAGGACGTCGGTGTTTTCTTTAAGGCCCTGCTCACACACTGTGCTGCGGTCAAGATGCCAAATTTCACTTTGTGCAGGAAGAAGGAAGAGGAAGCTGAATCCACAGAGTAGGGATCTACCTTTACACCATATGTTGGACATTATAATTTATTTAAAATGTACATGGTTCTGCTCTGAGAGAGGGTGAAAGAAGAAGAAAGCTACGGCTCGGTCATGTCTAGTTGAAACAAGCGATCGCTCGTGACCTCCTCCCCATTCACCCTGCTGTTCCCGCCTTCTTCAGCTCAGTGTTTTTGGTTGTGTTTTGTTCTTCCTCTCCTCTTTTATCAAGTGTCCCTCCCCGATGCCACTCACTGAGGCAGTGCAGGAATCCGCTATAATTAGCCCCTACCTGGTCACCTTGTCACGACCCAGACGAAGAGCCGTTGGGAGTTATCTTCAATTCTAGCTGCTGCTGCTGCTGCTGCTTCCACTGCAGAGGTGAAGGCTCTCATAAAACATTCAAGCTATGTGTGTTTCTAATGATCCCGGCGAAGACTTGAAAAGACAAAACCAGCCCAAGAGAGGCCTTTTCGAAAAGACCCAAACTGATTGAGAGATGTGGCTCCTGGGGAAGGGTGTGATTACATTAAACAAGAAAAGAATGGCAGATGGCATCCAGCCTCAAAGACAATGTGTATTCTCACGACAGTTGCAGACAGTGTAATCAATATTTGCAAAAAAAAAAATGTAAAAATGAAAAAAATGAGCGCGACTTAAGCAGCCAACACTAATATGTGATATGATCAAAGAGACAATATCTCGAGCTCTTCTAATAATCTCTGTCTATTTTTAGTTCCCTTTCAATTAAACTGTATTTTATAGTAGCTCCAACAAGATTTAAAAAACCTCCGACACCAATTACAGAGTATGATCTTGAAAACCGCCCGAGTCACTCAAAGACAATATTCATTATCAGTGAAAAAATATAAGATCTCCATACAATCACTCATTTTTTGAGTTATAATTTCATAGTGGAAAAATACAGTGATTCGGCACCGGATCCGAGAAATACAACCATCACTTCTCGAATGTTATATTCTCCTGTTTCTATAGATATAAAGCTCTGTTGGAAAGACAAAAAATCAATTATAAATTATGTTAAATAATGTATGATTTTTTCCACTATTTTCTGAATTTTAATACAACTGAACAATCTTTTAATAAAAAAATAACTGTCAAGTGTATTGAATAATGAAAAATAATAATTGTTGTTTAGCTGTACACTTATCCTGAGCTAGAACAACACTACACTTCCTCAACGCAGCCAGGGTTGCAGGAAAATAAGAGTCACAATCTCCTCTCGTGAGTTACGGCACTTAATTTGACAGATTTTGTGTTTAATTGCGTCATAATCAATATATGAATTCATATAGTTTATGGCCAATAAACATTTCTTGTGCAGGTCACAGTGACTATCTTTTACCACCAACATCTCAGCTCACGTTCCAGATCCTATCCGTCAGCACG